TTAATAATCAAAATCAAACACCAATTTTTTATGTTCTCTATTTTCACTCATAAAGCTAAAGCCTGTAGCCATGTTTCATTAAATCAATGCTTGAGAGTTGTCATATAAGGTTTGTTTACTTTAATAAACCACATTTTGAACTGAATGCTGCTGATGTAGCATGATACTGACCTTAAGCATTACCATGTGATTACCATGTGAACCAGGGGTGGAGCTAGATGGGGGGCCAGAGGTGGCCATGGCCACCCTTACCCAATCATTTGCCTTCCCTGTGACCACCCCTACCATTTCCTCCCTCTCACACAGATGGTGGCAGCAGCAATACTCTAAAGTGGAATATTCAAAACATTAAAATTTTTCATATATTAACAATAACTTGACAACAAAAACCCTGTAGTTAATCTTGCAAATCAATATACAAACATTTAAGATGATAAGCATGGAATTTATCCACTTTTCAGAACTAGATTTTGTTTTATATGAATAGTGAGTTGAATAATACTTATCATTTCCTCATTTATTTCATCCTCAAAGTTTATGTAAAAAAAAAAATGCAAAACTACTTTAGTGTATTTGAACGATCAAGTTGAAATAGCTAGACAAGTTGGTCACACAAGTTGGTCATATCTTCAAATGCTCAATTCAATTTCCTTTTCGAATTTACTTGTATTTTTGAATTAAAGTGAATTGTGTCTCCAGTCTTCATGAGCCAATATCTATCAAAGGTGATATAACAAAGTAATGGCGGAAAGCTCGACACAGCCATGGAAAAACGGATCAATAAAGGAATCAACAGAAGAAGTTAAAGCTGTTTCCAAATACCTGCGGTGTTCTGCATAGCCGCAGACCAATCAGGCACCCAGACTAACCCCCCCATTGTTTGAGGTTTTAGTGCCGCTGACTTTCCCTCCACATTCCTCAGATCTCAGTCCAATGAAGTATTTGTGGGATATTCTGGAACAAGGCATCTGCTCCTCTGAGGCCCCACCTCCAAACTTATAGGACTTTAAAGGCCTGATGCTAAACCTCGTGTTCCAGATAGCACAGCACACCTTCAGGTGTCTATAGGAGTCTCTCTTGATGGTTCAAAGCTAAAGCTAAAGCTGCATACTCCTTTTGCACATCTCTGATGTTGCTGCTATTTTTAAACATCCATTACTGTAAAAATGTCCATAGCTGGATATTGGTTATTATTTATTCTCCACAGTTTTATATTGTTAAAACCCTTTACAGTACAGTATTTTATTGTTTATATCTTAACTCTTCACTATTATGTTATTCTTATACATTTTTCTAAGGTCCACATTTGTGTGACCATTTTTTTCTATAACATTTTTGGTGCTGTAAAAACTGGAATTTCCCCATTCTGGGACAATAAAGAGATTTTCTATTCTATTCTATTCTATTCTATTCTTTACTGCTGGGCAGTTGGCCAAACTACCTGACCTGATCAATTCTACACATTCAGTATGTAACAATACACTCAACCTAATGTTATCTAAAACTCCCCAGTGCAAGCGCAAATTATATTTAAAGACTTAAAAAAGCTTCACAGCTTCCCTGACGTCTTGGGAATTATGCAAAAATCTTTATCATTCAAATTCCTATCTAGGCACACGTAAAACATGTTTTGTTTGTTTATTTTTACAGTGATATCTTCCATGGCGCTCTTCCTCTACAAAAAGTTACACTAAATTTCTCTATTCTTCTGACATTCCTGTTCAATTTGCTTTTGTTTATTCTACATTATATATTTACAAATGTCTTCATGTCAGTTGTATGTTTTTCTACGTGAAGCGCCTCATTACCAAAGCAAATTCCTCCTATGTGTAAAAACACTATTTGGCAATACATGTTTAATGACCAGGTTGAAGGAAATTCAACTGTCTGAAGAGTCAGAAGTTCACGTGGTAGCCTACAGGTTCAAATGCGTGCTTGTTTTTTTTTTTACAGAGAAAATCGTTTAGTACAAAATGTTCTCACCAGTAGGGGGTGCTAATGTATAGAAAAAGAACAGCTGTTGGATTTGTTGAAGTTTTTATGTAAAAATTCTTCCAGTTCTGAAGCTCCCTGCTCTTTCAACCACATTTTTATTACTTCTAAACAGCTACTGTGGTTTAATAAAAATAAAATAATATAAAGGAAAAATTTAATCTTCTGTTGGATTTCCATTTCCTTTATCCAAACATTGGTTTGCTGTAAAACTGGAGTGTTTTGTAATAATGGTTTATCAAACCTGGGGAGGTTTTTTGTAGTTTTAACTTCTTAACCGCCCCCCCCCCCCCCCCCCCCCCCATCCCATCCTCCCCTATTTTGCATACCCAAATGGAAAAGCAAATAACTTAGGAACTGTAAACTCAAATTACATGTGTGATGCATCATTTGAAGCTAACACCTTCTAGTTTCTGAATATACAAATGAATGAGTATCATCAGTTCAAACATGACTCAAAGTTGTTTTTTTTATTCTCGAAAATGATAGGTCTTTTTTGAGCAGCAGTAATAAAGACATGCTTGAGAATTCTGCCTATACTTATAAAACTATTATTAATACTAAAGATAAAATAAAAAAAAATTATAAGAAATCAAAGCAGGGTCCAGGACCCAGTGAGGGGTCAGAACACAGTGAGGGATCCAAAAATTGTTTTCAGTAGTTTGTGTCCCCTGAAAATAGAATAAATAAAAAGAATAAAAAAGTAAATGTTAATGTCCCATGAAAAAAATACACCTACAATTTAATGAACAATTGTACTATCAAATGCCCCACCGAGATAACAAAAAAAAAGTTTTAACCTTGGATTATTTCAATGAATGAATGAATAACTTGATTTCAGACAAGCCAGTAAAGAATGTATCATATTAAAAATGCTACATATAAATATTCAAATTAATTACATATATATTTGTTTTATATGTAAAATTTAGTGTTTATGTCTCAAAAGCAGTAGGAAGTGAAGCTAATTTCATCATACATCTTCATCCTAATACATCTTAATCATACTGCCTTCTAACAGTCCGTAACATTAGCAATAATCCTGCCTCCTATTTAACTGACAAGTTAAGACTTCTTAGACTTAGATAACTTTTATTGTCATTTTGTATATACAAAATTTTGTTTAGTACAGCTGTTCAGACAGTAAATTAATATTTCCATTCCATAAAGTGCAGCAGTGATCAAAAGTAAACAGTGTGGGAGAAAAAACATGACGCAAAGATGCATTGATATTGAAGTTTGGAGTATTAATATGTTTGGTGCAAATATGCAGTAGTTTTTGGTTTGGTGTTATCAGTGTGATGCAGAGTCTGTGACATGATTTAGAGTTTTTTTCAACACTATGGTTAATTATGCTCATCAATATACAAACATTAAAAATGATAAGTATGGAATTTATCCACTTTTCAGAACTAGATTTTGTTTTATATGGGGTAAAGAAAAAATGTATGTGTCCCTGCAAGTCATCTAGGAGTCTTCAGTGAAATCATAGACAAAGAACATTTTTAATAAAAACTTATTAAATAATAAATTTATGTAGATATTAGTACTTGTAAATATCAATTTTATGCAGAATGATTACTGATAAAAGTAGGTAAGTAATGACAATGGGAAAAAAATTTACCCAAACCTCAAATACGGATGTTTGAATATATACAAACAGGATTTATACAAGCATAGTTTTTCTCTATTTAGAAAATATGGAGGTTTTGCTCATCAATTTTCCTGTTTGGAACAGAGTAGATCAGAGGTCACGGATTAGTGGACCGCGGTCCGGATCCGGACCCACCTGCTGGCTAATCCGGACCCAACCTGATTTATAACATTTATAAATTACTGCATGTTGTCTGACAACATTGTCTAAACGTCACTTGCGCCGCTTCTCCTGTTACCCCGAAATCGTACATCCTCCGTCTCCTCTCCGCTCAAGACCTCCTGCACAAAGCAAAGCCTATTGCCTCTGCTGTTCCTCCCACATTGCTGTGCTCCGACTTAGCTTCAGAGCTCAAGGAGAGCATGCGCGATATTATCATTCAATTTGTAGGAGCAAAACATGCAGAAATGAACGCTTAATTTAATATGATATATTTAAAAAAAATCGAAAAACACTATAGATTTTAAAATGGATTTTTTAAAAATATTTTTTTATCTAAAAAAAATTAATGTATAACATGAATGCATAAACACCTCTTTTTATTTAAGTGTTAAATTCTGTTTAAAGCAACAGATCATTAAAAATGTGTCCGGACCATTACTGGTTGATGATTTTCTTTATTTGGAACGTGCTGATTTTTAATTGGGTGTAGATTGACCCTTAGGTTCTGGTGCCTATCTGCTTTTTTTTTTCCTACTTGCTTTGATTCTGTTTTATCTTCCTGTATTTTAATCATGTAAAGCACTTTGCATTGTCTTTGTACTGAATTGTGCTACACAAATAAATTTGCCTTGCCTTGCTTTCGGCCACCCCTCAGTGTACATTGGTGATTCCCTGGCCCCCCTTATAAAACTGTTATGGCTACGCCTCTGCATGTTCACTTTTCCCATCCTCTCTGAGTATTTTTTTTCATGTAAGTCAATGGCCTAATAAAAAAAATAGACTTAACGTCATGGCTTTTTGCGCCTCTGATTGGATGTAGATAAAATGGAAAAAGCCCTGCTATATCCGGTTTGGGTCTTCCTTACCTCTATGTAAAAATTAACAATTTTTGAAAGGTGTCACTCACAACGCTTTTATAATAGATTCTGCATTTTTTTTTTGGGTCATTAATAATGCAAATATGAAGCAAACATTTATACCATTTCACTTTCTCCAAAGTGCGATATGCAAAAAGCAAATTGTTGAGTCGCTTCTTATGATTTAGAAAAACGAGAATGGACTGAGAGTGAAGACATGAAAAAGCTAAAACAAAAAATAATCTGGAAAAAAACGCAGTCATTTCTCCTCCTGAGATCACTCGCAGTTTCCCTCCGTTTCTGCTACTGTAATTGCAAACTAGTGCGCCCTACTGTCTCCAATGCGCATGACTGTACGTCGTAAAGTGAAGTAGGCCTCCTGTTTTTCTCCCGAGCCCGAAGTCCTCTCAGTCCTCCCGGCCCCCACCGCCTCGGCGTGACGCTCAAGTAAGCAAAAACACGGTGACTGGCTGCTTGATCATTCGTTAAAGGTAAAGACTTGTTTTCTCTGTAAATGTAAAGTTGGTGTTGAGGTGTTGTTTTGTGTACGGTGTTTTTTTTTCTCTCTGCGTGCGGAAGCGGTTGGACTGCAGAGCAAAGCTTCGGGACTGTTTCCGCACGCTCGAGGGAGAGTAGAGGCCCAGTGACCCACATTCTGAGCTGCCAGTATCTGTGTGAGCGAATGGGCGTGCGCGTGCACGGCGCCTCCATACCGCTTTATTGTGTGAGCGTGTACGTTTGCGTGCGCGCCCGTAGACTATATATCTTTGCGTGTGTGTGTGTATGTACATCTGCCGCGAAAGAAAAAAAAAACGTTGCTTCGTTTTGGCTGTTTCTCACCGGCTGGTGTTTGTGTTTTTGTCGGCTTGTCGGACGCTGCCTCGTGGGGTTGTTTGGACTCGCTCTCTCGCGGCGTTGAAGGCAAAAAGCGGGGATATTTTTTTTAAGATTATTTCGTTTTCAATGTCAGTTGTTGCGTGACAGCTCCAGGCGCGGCGCCAGCTTGCAATGATAGAGACTGATTTTTTTTATTTTTTTTAGTTTATTTTTCCGCTTTTTTTGTTGAAGCAACGTGAATCGCTTTACCAATCGCGAATGTAGCGAGGAGGAAACGAGAACATTAAGAGCATTAAAGCTCTGGAGTTAAATGGGCAGTTTTCGGTAGCCAGCTTAGTTAGCCTGCTAGCTAGCTATATGGGCTGTTCTCGGTTGTATAACAACAACACCTGTGGCGTTAAAAGGTATGTGGAATACCACTTATTGCTCCAACAGTTAGCCATGTTGCTAACGTCAGGGTTAATTCATTTGTAATGTTGTGTTTCTTGGCTCTGAGGAGCCACCTACTCTTCCACCACTGACATCAATTACTGCTGGAACAGTCCACTCCAGAAGCAATGAATGCACAATGAGCGAGGGGGGGTTTAATGTGCTCTTGGGGTTGTATTTATGTATGTATAAATGTATTTATTTATTTTTTTGAACAAAATACATTAATTTACATTTTTAAGTAGGGATCTCCATTCTTTCTTAAAAAAAAAGAGAGAGAGAAATTAAGTTATATGCATGAGATCAACTTAACTTGTGCAAGGCAACAGAAATAAATAAACAGGCAGTAATATTACAACCAATGGAAATATACATAACTTATAAAATAATTAGATTAAAATAAAAGACAGACTCCTTTTGCAACAAGGCAGTTTCCTGCATCATGTTAACTTTGTGAGTCAAAAACCCAGAAATTTTGACATGTCACTACATAATTTTTGTTAATGTCCATGATTGTTGGAGATAAAGCTAACAGATATAAAGATGAATAGAAGATTTTGAGTCTGGGGGTCCTTTTACAGTCACTGTAACCTTTCTGCCTGCAGTGATATCTTTAAAATCCTGAGGCAGTGGCTTTTCCAGACACCCTTTATAGGGCGCTCAGTGAAATCCTTTGAAAATCCAAATTTCAAGCCAATGGTGTTATTGGATTCCAGGAACATACCTTATTACCTTTGTATGTCAATGTAATAACCACCAACTTATTGGTAGAAATATATTAGATTCAATTTTATATATATATTTTTATAACCAACTATAAGAATTGGCTCTAAGAATCAGCTTATTTTGTCAACAAAAATGGGGGACAGCAAGAAAAAATGTTTTTCTTTATTATAATTTTATTTTTTCAATAAAAATGGAAAGCAGCTCTCAAAGGCAAATAAAAGTGGGTACAGTAGGTAATATATCATTCAAGGCCTCATCTAATTGGTCAAATGCCAAAATAGGATGTACAGCCATGTAGCAGTATCTTTGCTGAATGGCTGGATATAGATCTTGTGCTTCTAGACCTCACTGAGGGACGGGGGGGACTCCATTAGTAAGGGGTATGCAAGTGCAAGTGATCAAAAAGGGTAACTTGCCCTATAAAGGGTTAAAGATGCTCGCCAAGTAGTAGATATTTGTATCATGGTTTATGCTAACAAATATACACTTAAAATTAAAATAGGTGTTTAAGAGATGCATTGATGCGAATGATTTGACACAAAGCCAATATTTCTGAACTAAATATCTTTCTTTGCAGTTTTCATCATTCTTGGAAACATTTCTTTTTCTGTTATGAAAAGATCTGGAATATTAAACTCCATTTCGTACCTTTTTGTTTTTTCCTCTCTAAATTGTATTTTCATCTTGTCTTATCATTTTCTACCTCTGAACAGATGTTTTACCATGTAAAACATGATTTCACCCCCCCCCCCCACGATGAATCAGCTTGTTCTGTACTTTTGTCAAATGGTTTTATGAAATTTACAATATTATAATCTCATATTTTCTTTATTCGATTTTATTTAAAAAAATGACTTTTAAGCCTAATTAGTCCAGTTCATTTTGGTTCTGATTTCTGTTTGGGGTGGTTAAAAGTATGATCAAAGCAAACCAAGTTATTATAGGATATGTAGTTTTAATTTTGGGTACTGTTAATTTAGTTTTCAGCTCTTTAGTTATCAAAGCGGGTATAAAATGTTCTCCCTTGTGTTATATAGGATCATTTCATCCTCAGAGATATTTTATTTTCTTCACCTATTCTTTAAAGAACTTTCATTAAAGGTTCTAAATTAGGACTTTTAACTAATGGTTATTTTGCAAATCAATCTGTAGATTATTTTTTGATAAACTGATTAATAATCTGATAGCCAATGGTTCCTTAAAGAAGATTTTTTTATTAAATTAAACCAGAAAACAAAACTTTTCCACTTGAGGAATTCTGGATAGAGCATATTGACAGATGAAGACCATTTTTTAAAATCTTAAATGCAAAATATTTATATATTTTCCAATTTCAATATAATTACTGATGTAACTATGTTGCTCTGTCAGGCAAAAGCACATTTGTGAGTCTCTACTACTACATTTAACGATTAATCAATGACTTAATTAGTTAACGATTATTTCAATAATCGATTAATCTGATTAATTGTTTCAGCCTTAGTCATAATAGTAATGTATTTGCCAGCATAAGATCTGTTAGACCTGATTTAGATTAATTAGAAGATGTAATCTGTCATATAACAAAACGGTCTGCAGGACTTTGGTACTAGGCTGAAATATACACAATACAACATTTTCAGAATTGGAAAAATAGTATTTGATCAAAGTACTTTGAGATTTGACAATTTTATAACATAGATTCTTAAAATACTTTGTAATTGAAGATATAGCATTCTGTACTAATGTTGAAATATTTTAACAGGTTTGAAATGGAAACATTAAGGAATAAAATGATATCGATGTATATGACTGGGATACAAATCAGCAATATATCCAAATTGACTCTGAATCTAATCAAAGGATATGATAAAACCTAAGTAATTTCCCTCTGCAATTATTAAAGTATTTCTGATTCTGAGTAGATGTGGCACAAAGTATGTTACCGAAAAAACGATTGATAAAGTTTTGTTTGTTGTTGAGTAATTTGTTCTGCAGTTTCAGCAAGCACTTCTTAAAAGCTGTGACCCCACAATCAGTCAGAATTATTTGACTTTTTTGTTATTAGTTTTCTTAAGGTATCTCCATGAAACATTAAAAAAAAACGCTTTTAATAGTTAGAGTAAATACTAGACTTGTAGCTGTCTCATTATTCAGCCAAAATGTCATGTTATTTACAGGAGAGTATAGTTTTAACCTTTTAATGCTCATTGAGTAAGAAAACTTTCCCTGAAACCAAAAGTTAATGGGATCATGAAGTACTTCCACTCTTTAATTGAATCTGGAACCTACATATGCTTATAAAGCAGATTTTTCTCTCTTCAAATCATCTCAGGTTTTCTGTTTAGGTTTTTTAGATAATAATTGAGTTTTTAAATAGTCTTCTTGGTTAAAAATATATTAGATAAAATTTTAAATTTTTTTGATAAACAACTATAAGAATCAGCTTATTTTGTCAACAACAATGGGGGACAGCACAAACATTTTTTTTTTTTTGGTATAATTTTATTTTGTCAATGAAAATGGAAAGCAGCTCTCATAGACAAATAAAAGTGGGTTTTTGAAAGCCCTATTTAGCCAATTGAGTAATCATGTGCTGTCAGCAACAAACCTACTACCATGGTTGCACAATGTTTACTCAAAAAAATGTTAATTTTCCATTTACTTTCCAGGAAAAAGGGAGAACGCACAGTTATTCATACTGCGGGAATAATACTATAATATACTTAGAAGTTACTCCTAATTAAAACACGTGTCATAAGCTAATAATTTCAAATCCCCCTGCCTGTTTTCTTCCATTTATTTCTTCATACATATTTTACCATTTCTTCTGTCCTGCTCTTCTCAAAGTAACACAAGCAGTTTGACTTAAAGTTGGCCTATGTAGCTAACCTCTAGTTATATGCTTAATAGACCTTGATACCCATAGCTTTCCAACTGTATTTTTTTTAAACATGGCTACCCTAATAGCAGTGAGTGGTTGCACTCCTTTAGTTTGCTGAACATTTCTCAGTATTTTCCAAAGCATTAAATCTTTCCACACATCTCAATTGTTAATGATTGTAAGCAAGGAAAAATGTGGAAATGCTTTTTCAGCCAGCTGTGCTGCAGTGCTCACCAACAGTTGAAAGGTGGCGCACACAACCAGAAAAGGTCAGTCAAAATGGAGTTTGTGGGGGAAAAGGCTCACCTCTTTAAAATCCTAAGGAAAGTTATGTATTAAAGATTAGCAACCTTTGAACTTATCAGTCTGTATTGACACGCTACACGGATATTAATATAGACTATGAAGGATTTGTGTACCAATTATATGTGGAACTGCTTCAGTTTATTAGATCTGTTTTCCTGTTTTTAGCATGATATCCATGCTGTGATCTTATCAGGCTCAAATGATTTGCTGCAGTGTTACTGAACAAAATGAATATAAAGGAAGAATTTGGAAGAAATAAAGAGGATAAATGAATAAGAGAAACTCGGATTTGTAGCATAATGTGATGTCAGGTTAAGCCTATTTTGGAGAAGGTAGATTTTTGTCTAGATAAAATTCTTTATTTTTGCTACAAAAATAACTGCAGAGCATGGCATGCTGTTCTTTAGGTAGTAAAATCTTTATGTAAGCAAACGGAAAACGCCTGGCTTGTAGCTTTAAGTGGGAGGCTGTGTGGATAAGAAGGAGGTTGGTAACTTAATATGTCATTGATTAAAATTGCGTTTCATAAATGTAGGCCATGTAGATGCCCAGATTAGATGTATTTGTCCAGTGAAAAACCTTAGTTTTATTTTACATTGAGTCTCATCCGAGTGTATCAAACTGCTGCATTTTCCTTATTATGACTCATTTGATCTTTTTTATGGGTTGTTGTTTATGCGTTTGTCTAAATTTGACCAAATAAGGGACACTTCCTTTCCCTGTCATATTATCAGGGTTATGTTCACCATTTAGTTTAGTGTTTATGAACCAAACTTTTTTTTTATTGAGTCTTATTTTTTCCCTGACCAAATAGCTACATGATAATTACAATACTCTCCATGTCTGCAAATGATTTCCATACTAGCATAGTTTTTTTTAAAGACATTTAGAGGCTTTTTTGTTTAGTATATTCTGAGTTTATGAATACCTGATATTAATATTTAGATAAGCTGCCAGATATGTCAGCAGATTATTAGTGTTTTAGCTTGGTGGGAAAGAATTGAGTCATCGCTTATCAACTTCCCAGCAGTGTCGTTCACAAAGTTTTCAACCTCCTGACATGAAGGCAATCACTCCCCAGCTCTGCCACCTCCTCTGATCTGACTCATGCTCGGCTGAAAATTAGTTACTTATATCATGACATGATTTTTCTAATTGGTTTAGTTTTCTGGTTTATGTTGATATAGAATTATGTTGCACCGATTTCTACGCCAGTGAATGAGTCAGTGCTTTCTTTGTGTTTCAGGTCAGGTGTGGTGTGTAGTGTCGTCAGAGCCTGCAAAGAAGACCTGAGTTTAAATAGGCCACTCTACGTGTGACATTCCAGCTGAGGGTAAGTTCAAAACCGTTTTTGCTGGCAAATTGGTAGTTTCTTGAATTTTTAAGGGTCTAGTTGTTTGTTTAACTACTTTAGCATAGATTAATAATGCCCCTCCCCCTTTTTAAAATGTTTTAAAGAAACTAGAAGTTTTAAAATGAAAGGGTTTAAATGTTCCAGTATCTGTAATGGGATAGTTGATGGATTTAACGGAGCCTTTTATCATAAACTCCTCCAATGGCAAATCTCTTCCCATGATTGCAAACTGCTACAGTGCAACTATAAAAAAAAAAAAAGAAAAAAGATAATACTATAAAACTATTTTTTTAGATTGGTTTTCCAAGTTTACATTTGGTATTAATTTAGGATCAGTTTTGCAGTATAAAGCTTTAAAGGAGTTGTTCAAGCTAAATCATTTATTGATTCATTATAATTTATTTTCTAATACAGTTGTAGGTTGCAGTTTCCTTTGTTCCTAATAGACTATTACAGGGTTTCCATGGTTCATTAGAAATCATTAAAAGTAATTAAATTGTTGTTTTTTAAATTAATTGGCAGTAAAATTCATTAAATGTGATTATCGTGGAATTTAAAAGGCTTTTTTGAAATATACTTTTATAAAAACATTTTCATCAGATATATTATATCGTGATTTATTTGCACGGATCTGCTTTTGGTTGATTGTAAAGCTGTATGTTCAGAAAAGAATAATGGGGGGGGAAAGCCAATATCAACAAAACTGGCTTGAAAACGAGGAATTCGGTACATGGTTGCAACCTGTTGACGGAAAAGATGACGAACGAAAATTGGCAAAACTTTGAAAGTGCCCCCAAGTGCAGTCACAAAAACCCTCAAGCGCTCCAAAGAAACTGGTTCACACGAGGACAGCCCCAGGAAAGGAGAACCAAGAGTCACCTCTAGTGCGAAGGATAAGTTCATCCGAGTCGCCAGCCTTAGAAATCGCAAGTTAACAGCAGCTCAGATTAGAGACCAGGTCAATGCCACACAGAGAGCCGATGCAGAAAAGGTGAACGAATGAACTCTACATACCTCTAACATACCGTTAAGCATGGAGGAGGAGGGGTGATGGTGTGGGTTTTTTTTTGCTGGTGACACTGTTGGGGATTTATTCATGATTGAAGGCATACTGAACTAGCATGGCTACCACAGCATCTTGCAGAGGCATGCTATTGCGTCCGGTTTGTGTTTAGTTGGACCATGATTTATTTTTCAACAGGACAATAACGCCTCCATTCTCTTAGAGCTCATCAAGAGAATGCCAAGAGTGTGCGAAACAGTAATTAAAGCAAAAGGTTGCTACTTTGAAGAATCTAGTATATAAGACCTATTTTCAGTTGTTTCACACCTTTCTGTTAAGTATATAATTCCACATATCTTATTTCATAGTTTTGATATGTATGTATATATGTGTATATGCACTTTACGTTCATGGACACATGTTTATGGTGTGAAATTACGCAATTATCTATTAATAAAAGGCTTTTTTTTCCTGTGTTAACATAAACTTTAAAAGCAAATTGATAAAAAAAAAAGAAAAGTCTTGTGCTGATGACCTTGAAGTTTTTCTTATCTCACTTGGATTCAATTTCTTTTCTCTCTGAATGCAGGCTGTGAAAGGATGAAAAACCATCCAAAATGTCCACCTAACTCCCCCTTGACCCTGTTTCTTCTGCTCTGGTTTCTTCAGCAGGTTCTGGTCAACCTCTGTGTGTTTTCCTTGTGGTCCGCTGTCCTCTCGCGACCCCAATGACCTCATTGCCTCATTTGACCCTGGAGTCAGCGACAGCCCCGAACCCGCTCTGCGACATGTGAGAGATAAAAGAAGTCTGGAGTTTTCAAAAGCTGTGGCGGGGTGAGGACTGACTTCAGACTCAGACATGGTTGAGTTACATGTGAAAGTGTTTTGAAATATTGCTCTGGAGTGTGTAATTTGAATGTATGTGTTGCTGTGCGTGTTTGTTTCATACCTTCATTTTTTGCTTATTACCAGTGTCAAACACTATGAATAAATGGTTTTTGAGTGCAGCCATTTTGGCATTGATGTTTGACCCAGTTTTTATGATTTAGACCAAAACTGAAATGACTTTGATTAGCAACTATTTATATTTATCCATTTCAAAAGGCGCTGTTGTAAATCTTTCATTCAAGTTTCTCTGTAATATTTATTACCTTTTGAAGATTTTCGCTGTACATCTTCTGTCTTAATTTAAGATACTAAACATGCTACCCGATTTTTTTTTTTCTTTTCTTTTTAAGGGCCTGTGTAAAAGCTCTTAAACTCATTAATTTCTCTACAGCTTTCTGTATTAAATCCTACCTCTGTGCAGGCTAATAGTGCTTCTATTAGAGCGAAATGAACCAGACTAAACTAATGAGGTTTTCCGACCAGCACCTTCAGTTGATTCCCTCGTTTTTCTTTGGCTTGAATTTGACCTTCCACAGTTTGTATCGATCCACCTTTCAGGCACAGTTTCATCATTTAAATGGGTTTAGAGGTTATTAAAACAAAGCCAGAGGTTAAAACTCTGAGATATTTCTAAATTTAGAACATAAAACACCTCGGCTCAGCTGCACATTTCCTCATTCTGAGAATGCATGTTTTAATATCTGTACTGTTTTGTCTAAGGCTTACTGTTCAGTATCATTCATTTTCTGTTTTAAAATGTTTTTTTCTTTAAAGTCGCCCCTGGTTTACCTGAATTTTCCCACTCTGGGACAATAAAATATATTATTTCTGTTTTTATTTAAATAGGGATAACAACATTCACCTTTTATTACATAATACCTTAACATACATTTATTAGAATCTATAAGTGCCGTACTTGTTGGCACCCCCTGTAGAGATGCATAAACTTTTAAAAAGTTAAGCTTTTATTTCTCTAAAAACTTCAGAAAATGAGTTGGGTTTGTTTAGCTGCGGAGAGATGAGTGAAGACATATAACTGTTTTATTACAGATTACTTTGAAATCAAATTTTTTTATAAACCCGCAATTGTTAATCCTTTGGTTTCGTTTCGTCCGAGTATAAATTTGACATAAAAGCTCCTGGTTTTGCACTGTGGTATCAGTCATGGACGAACAAAACCCTTATTTTTAAACCTTTGTTTTCAAAAAACGATTATCATGCTTGTGTATCATCAAACTACCCTGCATAAATGTAAATGTAAATAATTACATTTTCTTGAAATGCATGTGTTTTTAGTTGACCTTGAGTTGGTAAATGAGGCAGTTTCACAATGAGATGATGTGATTTACTAAGTGTATATTGTCTAATAATCTTATTTAAAGAACAAAACATTAATTAATTTGCAGTCATCTTATTTACATGCTCAAATTAAGGGCAAATACACTATGAAAAAATGTCTGATTTTATTTTTTTTGTAGATCAGTTTTAGTATAAAATGGTAAAGAAAACATAGGCCTAAAAGTGTATTTTCCTATTGAGAAAGAACCTAATTGATTTGTGGTTATCACAAAAATAAGAAAAATCTAACTCTTACTGAATATACTTTCAGTTGTACTGGAAATTGATGATAATGTGAAAACAGATGAGGTGGTCTAATTTTTCCCCCCTATCAATACAGCCTTGATGAACCTTCATTTTTACTTTACCTGATAAGCACAAAGAGCAGGATGGGAAGAAAGTGGAAAAAAGTCTCCAAAGATCACTGTTGGAGAGTGGCACTTAAGGATCACAGAGTTGCTATGGCTAGATGCCATCCACATGCCAAATGGTGGTTTGGAAAATGGGAGTACATGGAATCATAAAACACAAAACATCAAAAGTTACCACAAAATAGGTCTTTGAAAGGACTTAAAATTTTAAACAAATTACTGGCACAACTTAAAAATAGCTCAACAGACACAAAATGAACAATCTCCTTAAACTATTTCTTATAAAAGTAGACTTTTATTTGAAAAATAGAAAAAAATGGACGTATGCTCCTGCATTACAAGAGGTTGAATTTTCACATTATGTATATTTAGTTGATTTTTTTTATTAAAATCAACAACCTACTAGTGTGACTTTAGTGTGATGATTTATGTTAAACCAATGAATGGGATTATGAAGGTTTAGTTGTTTTTTTTTTGTTGCTCTGGTCTTTTCAGGTGCTTTTCCAAATGCCTACCTCACGCCTAAAGAACAAAATCCTGCAGCCACAGCCCTGATCAGCAGCCACCATGTCATCAAACATAGGGTAAGCTGAGGAAGGCATGCAGATACACTTGCATACATTATTAAATATGGGTCACCACATTCATATTATGAGCTTCTTGAATTGCCTATAATTATGAATGAAAGTATTTTTGAAAATCGTAACTGAAACTCAGTCCAAGCATCGTACATACTTCTGCCTTTCTGAATCCAAATAAACTTGCATCTGCTATGCAGGAATTTTCCTTTTAGCTGTTATTTATAAGCTGCTTCAAAGCAGTCTCACAGCTGCAGCACAGAGAGATGAACATCACGTTTTTATTTTTTATTTTTTTTGCTTCCTATAGGGATGATTGTTGCAGCCTCACTGATGGGTTGATAGAAGAAGATGAAAAGGACAAGGCGAAACGGTGAGCTGTGTGTCGGAGTAATGGCCCACCCCTAATCACACCACGCCTCATATCTAACCAAACTGCTTTGGATTGCAGCGTGTCCCGCAACAAATCAGAGAAGAAAAGGAGAGACCAGTTCAATGTCCTCATCAAAGAGCTTGGCACCATGTTGCCAGGCAACACTAGAAAGATGGACAAGTCCACCATCCTGCAGAAAAGCATAGACTTCCTGTGTAAACACAAAGGTCAGGCATTTTCATCATCCTCGCTGGGTGGAGTTTTCTTACTGTTTTTTCAGGCTAATGATCAACATGGTGCGATCCACTATCAGTCCTGTTTACCTTCAGGAACTGAACTTTGTAAAAACATGGTTTATTGTACATTTTATGGCACATGGAAATCATAAAATATAAATTGGTCTGCTTTGACCTTTTAGCTGGTTGCCATACCCTAAACATTATATTACTTGAATTTTTTTATTGAGTTATTTTAGATTTGGAGAATTTTTTGGCCTTAGTTTAGGTGCAGCAAGTGGATTTGAACTAATCTCAGCTTTTATCTTTGACATATGAGTTACTTGGGATTCATTTGTCGCCACTCAGGTTCTTGATTCTGCTGCCTTTGGATTGACCACTAGAAATATTTTTCTATGTGTCCTTTGTGTTTTGTGTCTGCATCGTTTCAACCTTGTAGTTTCAAAAATCGCTAAATGTATTTCCTTTTAATATGATCCATCTTTCTTCCTTTATCAGAGATTGCAGCCCAGTCGGAGTCGAGCGAGATCAGGCAGGACTGGAAGCCCCCCTTTCTTAGCAATGAAGAATTCACACAGCTCATGTTGGAGGTCAGAAATGTCACATTCTATACTCTATTCCTGTACTGTGGGTGACAACAGTGTTGTACCAACTCTTCTGTTGTTCCCATGGTTTGGTTTTCAAATTGCAGTCAGCAGATAAAGTTCCAGTTGAAAGCTTGAGTAATCATGGATGTTTCATTGATTCTTGCCTCCTAGTAAAATGTCCCCATTTAGTTTGTAGAGGAACCACTTTTTGTTGCTTCAAACAAACTTTTGACATCACTCCAGTCTGTTATCAAAACTGGTAGACCATTGCTGTTGTGCTGAAGCCAAGCGGCGTCTGCTGTATCCAATACAAACCAGTTTTAATGTGTGTTTATTAGCATCGTCGTGTTGGGACGCTATTAGTTGTTGATTTGAGGTGAAGTAGAGCATTTTAGCAGCATCTATGCTGCACCCACTTTCTTCAGGGATGTTGCATCTTCACCTGATCCCTGTTGGGTCCTGTCCAATTCCTTTTTTTCTGTGAAGGATGATGAATTGGTTTAAACCTGGTCATCTTATATGGACTTTGGTCCTAAAAACGCTTTACAATTGAGGTGGGAATGAATAATTCAGATTGCAAATAAAGTTCTTGAATGCCTTTTACAAATACAATTATGGTCAATGTTTTAAAGCTTGGGACTTTTATACAAACAAAAATGTAGCAGTTTCCCAATCCTTAACCTTGTATCATTTTGACTTTGTTGTTAAAAGAAAACACAGTAGATTTGAGCTTGTGAACAAACTATGAAAAATAGAATAATTCAAAAACAAACACTGGCTTTCATGCCAATGATGGGTGTATTTAAACTTTTGAACAGATCTATATATGCACTTGGTGATTTTTTGTTACTGAGAAAAAGCTTCTGTTTTCCTTTTGCTGAAGAATTTTTTGTCTTATACATTTTTCTGACTGGCAGAGCCCAGTCCTTTATTTTAGTAATTGGTTTGTACCCTTTTTCCTGCTAGTAAACAGAACATGTCACTCTGTTATTTTTACCTTTGGATCAGGCTTTGGATGGATTCTTTATAGCAATAATGACCGACGGGAACATCCTTTATGTCTCTGAGAGCGTCACCTCTTTACTAGAACACCTGCCAGTAAGTATTACTGTTTTTCTTTTTTGCTGTTATTATTGTCCCATTGTGTGGCAGTGCTGTATTAAATCTGTCTTGTGTGAAATGGTTTGGCTGTTCTTTTCCTTTCTTTTTTTCTGTTCTTGGTTTGGCTGTTCTTTTCCTTTCTTTTGTTCTTTTTTTTTTTTACACTTCTTAAGCCTTCTTTTTTTGTATTTCTCAGGCGGACTTAGTGGATCAGAACTTGTTAAACTTTCTACCTGTTGGGGAACACTCCGAAGTGTACAAGGCTCTGTCGACGCACCCAGTGGAACTGGAGAGCATCAGTAGTGATTACATGAAGAGTCAGTAAAAAAAACTTTTTTTTTTGTGTGTGTGTGTGTGTTTGTTGAAATGCTGAAAGATTATTGAACAGAAACTCAATAAAATTTACTCTAAAAAACAGTATAGATTTTCTAAAGTAGTTAAAAAAGATATAAATCCCCCAAAGATCCGCCTCCCTTCATTCATATCGTCAGTCAGCTACACAAAAAGCCAATTAAATGTTATATTTGGATTTACAAATGCAAAACCTTCTGTTTTCTTTCCAGAACTATAAAATATTGTAAACAGATTTAAATCGCTGTAATTAGCATTTATATTTTCTCTCATATGTTTGTTGAGAAGCCAAAGGATTCTACAATAATAGCTTGCTGAGTAAAAAAAAAAATTCAAAGTACTGGATCCTTCCACCCTCCAATCTACAGTTCTATATAATAGTTCAATTAAATGTTAATCAAATGTGGATCTGTATCTTCCAAAAATAAAATAATTTTCCAATTTGTCTAAAATCTTCTAATTTATGATCAAGGCCGTAACAGTTTTTTTTTTTTCAGGTGTAAAGACTCTGTCATTATTATTCAGACTGTTGAAATCTGGTTCTCTTTCCATAAGAGAAGAATCAGTTTCTTCTCAGACATCAGATACATGCCGCTGACTTTTAAATCATTAAGATTTGTCGATTGTTCTGAAAGTCTGGTTATAATCCAAACTGCTCAGGCTGTAGTTTTACCCCAAAAAGGGATGAAAACCCCCAGATATGCTACAGTCCACCAGCGTTGCAATTCCATTGAGGTTACAAAACTACAAAGGAATACTTATAGGGAATATTTTTTGTGCAGCCTGTATTTAGTAACATTTAGTTAAATTAAACACTGATGTGAGTTTATAGAACCCAAATCAACATAGCTCAAACCTTTGGTCCAAATATCATTATGTATTTCTGGTGCATTATTTGTCTCTTGTAGACTTTGCTTTACTCTTCTCAATAAGTGAAATAGTTAAGTGTTTTATAAAGGAATGAAACAGACATTTTTACAGTCACAGTTTTCAAGGCATGGATCTATCTTGTTTGGAATTGCAGTGTCAGAACTGAATGTGCAATCTTGCATAACTCCTTATTTGCTGATATTTCCTTTATATTTTTAATTAACTCTTCGTGTCTGTCTCTATAGCTAAGAATCATCTAGAGTTCTGCTGCCATATGTTGCGAGGGGCCATTGACCCCAAGGAGCCCCCCATCTATGAATATGTTAAGTTTATCGGCAACTTCAAATCCCTCAATAACGGTACGTTGCTCTGCTCATAGTTGATTTGATCATGCATGCTTAAACAATGCTGCAGGATATTTTACTTTATGCTGCGTTCACGCCAAACACGTTTCAAACCGTCAAATGCTTTAAAGTCAGATTCTCTGGAAGCTCTAGATGCTCGGCTTTCAACGCTCCAGATGCTTTGCTTTGTAATCAAGAGAGTGGCTTGGTTATATTTGCTTTGATGATTTAGGGAATAAAAGTAGTTTTAACACATATTTAAGTGAGAAAGTCCACCCTTAAACATATTCTTTATATTCAGTTCATTGTTGTTGTTTGGAGCATGAAAACCCCACATAGGGATGTTTCACAGTGCTGAGGATCCCTAGCAGAAGTAATCACTGCTTGCATGTAGTGTCTGTCTCTCAGACTGCTCCTGGATCAGCTTTACTAATTGGTTGATGCTTGGCGTCCAGCGGCAAAAGTTCTCTTAGCTCCTGCGTCGTCCACTCTGCACCTTTCAAAGCGCATCGCTTCAGTTGCTCAAATCAGGCTGCTGGACCCAAAGCCCCCTAATGTCATCTCCCATTGATTTAGCATGTAATCCAGATACCCTGGTGTTTAAAACATGTTTGGCGGGAATGCACTATTACAGTCTTCCCCTTTCCAATCAAACCTACAGTTGTGGAATATATTATCAAACCACCGTTGTTTTCTTCAGTTTCCTGTTCTAAAGGTGTTTTACTTGAAGAATGTAAGGAAGAAAAAGAAAGAAGTTAAATTTTTTTCATGACTGTACGTTTTAATAGACTATTGACGCAGAAGTATTGTTAATGTTATCTACATAATCTAAAACAATCTTTTCTTAATAACTTTAAACATCAATGGAAATATATCTGTAGAGAAACCAATCTAATTATATACAATTTAAAGAAGAGTACCAAACTGAATTTTATGTTAAACTAAAGTTATCAAGTAAACAGAGGTCCCTGTGCCCAGTTCAGAGCTGGTAGCCTCTCTTTGGTAGAGGAAGTGGGCTGGTATAAGGGTCTCTGTTAGGAGGAGGAGAGGGTCTGTTTACTCTGTGACCTTAGTGTGATGATATAACTTTGTCCTTTATTGTACAATAATCTGAGACTATTTCAAAGCATAAAAAGAAAACAATGCAGATTTGTTTTGGTTACCAGTTGACAATATTTTAAGATGGATACTTTGTAAATATATATTTCTATTAGCCGCTCTTGTCAGTGAGGTTTGGAACAGAAGACAGACTGCTATATCCTACCTGAGTTTTGTAAAGTTAAGTTGCGTGTAACTTGTTGGTTAAATGAGTGTCTCCTAAGACCATACAGGCTGGGCACCAGCTGAAATGGTGCATGACACTTTAATAAAAATATATCAATTGTTATTCTACTCCATGGTAGGTTATCCAGTTCCCAGTCATATTAATTTCACTCCTTCAAAATTTTCTTATTTTGTCATTTTATAACTTAAAAGTTGTAGAGTTGATTCTATAGACTATTCAACAGTTCAACACAATTGTAAAGGTTGAGGATAATTTTCAGGCAGGTATTATAGTTAGGGTTGTTTGTTTCTCACAAAATAAATGTATATACTGTGGCTTGGTGGTGCATTTAGCTTCCTGCAAACCATCCTCAGTCAGCTGATCAGTAAACAGTTGGTCACCGGTGACTCATTTAGTTTCGACATACATCCAGCCGTACTGTTAAGACCTCTGAGGTTTGTTAGAGAGTAGTAACTGCATCTTGAAGACCGAGGAACACATCAAGCAGGTCAGGGAGAAAAAGTAAGGTACAGTAAGGTTTATATCTAAAAAAATAAAAAAAGAATATCCCAAAGTTGGAACGCCTTAAACAACTTTGTTTAATTCGTCATGGGGAGAGGCATAGTCGCAACTGTAAACATACCAAGACATGACCATCCACAGATGAGGTATAGAAAAGTGGCAGTAAGAAAGCCAATGTTGAAAGAAAAACTGAAGAAGTCCTGTTTGCAGTTTAACATTCATGCCAGAGCACACCTTCTTCACAGGGAAATGTAGTGGAGGTAAAGGTGTGTTGTGGGAATAGTTTTTCCTTTTCAGTGACTAAGCAGCTGGGCAGAATTGAGGAGAAATTAATGGAGCTAAATGAATAGCAATTTCTTATAGGCTGCAAAGATGGAGAAACTAGTGTAGGTTCACTTTGTAGAAGAAAATGTTCAAACATACAGCAAGAGCTTAAAGTTAAAGATCTAAAGTTAAAGCGGAATCTATGGCTGTACCATAAAATGTTTGATACAGCCGCAGGGATGATTTACATACAATAATAATAAATTTTTTAGTCTCTAGCTTTTCAAAGATGATGGAGAAATAGACTAAGACCTGCAGCTGTAACTCAGAGGTGTTCTGTGAAGGATTGTCTCAATAGTGTGTGCATGAGCATGCAAGCAATATTTCCCACTATTTTACTTTAAAAAATAAACTGAGTCTCATTTTCCATCTGTTTTACAAGTATACACTACCTTTTGTTAATTTAATTTATACAATTCCAATATGCTAAAGTTAAAGCTATGTTTACAGTTCAAGGTGAGAATAAACATCTCTCTGTGTTTCAGTTCCAAACATTACGAGGAACGGTCTGGCAGGAGTGTTACAGCGGTCACTGCAGCCTGCCTTCGATGACCAGGTCTGCTTTGTAGCCACTGTTCGCTTGGCCAAACCTCAGTTCATTAAGGTATCGTCTAGTTGAGTACACCGCTTAGCCATCCTTTTTGTCATTTAACTTCCCACGTCAGAATCTTAGCTTTGTTTTTTTTGGTTGTAGGAAATGTGCACAGTCGAGGAGCCAAATGAAGAATTTACCTCAAGGCACAGTCTGGAATGGAAATTCCTCTTCTTAGACCACAGGTTAACACACTCTGTAGTAACTCTATGTGCGGTGGCCCTCTCTTCCATTCATCAATACCTTTTCAAAACATCCTTAGGGAGGGACGCGTTCTGTCACAATGTAGGTCAAATGAAGAATTTATAATAAACCCTCCCAATGGCACATAGAGATATTTGTAAAAATTGTGTCTCTGTTAGAGAAATGATTTTAAAAGACTGATTTCTTTAGGTAAGTATAATAAAGAAAACCTTCCAGAGCAACAAATGACAAATCCTGGAAACAATTTATTAGATCTAAATAAACCCCTACAGTAGCAAAACAAGCAGTCAGTTTTATGTCTTGTGTGTCTAAATATGGACACATTTGTCTAACTTTGATTTTGTAAACCTGCATTAAGACAGAAGGAGCGCCGCTGAAACTCTGTCCCCAATCTTCTGGTTTGACCTAAAAATTAGTATGCAGCCCAAGTTTTGCAAGTTGGCTAAGAGCTTGACCTGGTTTTTCTTTTAAACGGTGCTGCAGATGGCATAGTGGAGGTTCAGGTTGCTGACCTCTGCTAGTTTTTTTTTTTTTTTTTTGGTTGGGTAACAACCTGTTGGTCTTTGACAGCACTTCCTGTTACGCCTCAACTAGCAAAACCTGCATTTCTACTTGATTTTTGTTGTTTCTTCACTTCATTGTAGAATTTTCCCTACTTAGTTCACTAGTGTCACAGGTTCTGTGACCTTTTACCACTTATCAGAGCCGTTACTGCTCTCAGCTGCCAAAGGAGGCTGCTGAATAGGTGTGAAGGGGAGGTGGCATGACTTTATAATCTGGCTTTGAGATGACAGCCTTGTTGTATGATATGGATATTGAAGTGAGCACGCTGGTTGATCTTGAAATCATTCTTACGCAGGAAATATTTCTAGGAAAGGTTAACTATCTACTAACTGCTAGGATTTCTGCCATTAATAATTAGCTTTGCTCGAAATCTTAGTCCAGTCGCTCTCTCACATGGGTCCATGTAAATTTTATTGAATATTTAACATCAATTTCTAACAAATTAGTATTGATATTAAAAAGAATAAGAAACATTCATGTGATGGGAAATGATCAAAACAAACATTCAGAGTGAGAGAATAGGACTTGTTACTAACGTTGTCCAGCATTAAGCTTCACAATATTATTTTAGCTAAAACCTGGTGTGACACTAGTGAATTTATTAGTGAATGATGCATCTATTGCTAGTATTGTTGTGCTGCTGATTGTTCAGAGAAGCAGAAAAGGTTTAATAATAGCCTTAGGAAGTAGTTCTACTTATTTACCAAATAGCAATGCCCAAACAGCAGCAGCTGCTGCTGCTTTCAATGGGAAGTTTTACAAAAAACAATTTTCTTCGAATGAAAATCCTGTATTTTTTAGTCTTAGTTTGAGTCTGCCCAGACCCTTTTATGTCTTGCAATGGCCCCAAAGCAGAAGGACATTCAAATGTACCCCTTTTTTAGATGCAAGTCAGATTTTCATCATGCCTTTCTAAAACAATATCACATCTTCCATATTCTCCTCCTTCTCCCCTTTATTATAATGCTCTAAAATTAAGTTTTACCTTCTTTTTGTGTAAAATCAGTGTGTTGTAGTCATTCCCAGCATACATAGAATGGATTCTAAGTCATTTTAGAAGAATAATCATGGTAAGCATAATGGCATTTGGATTAGTCTACCCAGGGACTTCATGGGGTTTTGTTCAAAGAACCTAAATAAAAATAAAACATTTTTTTCATTAAATATTGCACAATTATTATATACAGCCAGACAATGGTGCATCCAAACTATAGATTATATTAAATAAATTATATTTTTTCCATTTTTAAATCACTGCTTAGTGTTTAATAGGCCTCTTGATCTTAAGACATAATAAACCACCTCATTGGTTTGGTTTCAGCGAGAAAAATGACCAAAAATCAAAGTCACGATTTCTGTTATACATTCTCCTCTTTATAACTACAACACACACACACACATATACCCTGGTTGACAGATGAAAACAGACTTGACCCATTTTCACACACACGCTGCAGTCATGCAAATAGTTTACAGAGATTTAAACGCAAACATCCAGTGCAGAGGAAATGCAGCACAGGGAGTCCGGAGAATTCGTTCTCACCACTGAAAATGTCAATTCTTAAATATCTAAAAGGGGAAACTGTAAAGAGGCAAAGCAGGAGGAATAAAAATCACTAACTGGGATCTAATGTGTTTTTTCTCTTTTCAGAGCTCCACCAATAATTGGCTACCTGCCTTTTGAGGTCCTGGGAACATCAGGGTATGACTACTACCATGTTGATGACCTGGAGACACTCGCCAAATGTCATGAACACTGTGAGGCCTCTAACTTTCTCTTTCATTTAAGGCTCTATGCAGGGTCATATCGCTGCCCTGTTTTTCTGTGTGACAGCTATTGATTTTGCCAGTCTCTCTTCCTGCCCTTCTCAGTGATGCAGTACGGAAAAGGAAAGTCGTGCTACTATCGTTTCCTGACCAAAGGTCAACAGTGGATCTGGCTGCAGACCCACTACTACATCACCTATCATCAGTGGAACTCCAGACCTGAGTTCATTGTTTGCACACACACGGTGGTCAGGTACAAGCCCCCGTATATACTTTCAATTTTAAATCAGACTTTCATAAAGGACATATTTATTATTTATTGTTGATTTGTTATGCTTAACATGCTTTTTGTGTGTATTGCATATGCAGCTATGCCGAGGTAAGAGCGGAACAACGCAGAGAGCTTGGAATCGAAGAGTCCAATCCAGAGGCAGCTGCTGATAAAGTGAGTCATTCCTTTGGGCTTCTCACAATTTGATAACCTGGAATAATAATGCCACAGCTGAGCTGCTACACCATTGGTGCTGCAATCAATACCTGTTAGGATTAATCTGTTTGTGATCACCTCTATTCCTTTAATGCAGTTTCCCCACTACTCTATGTACTTTAGCAAATCAGTCACTAAAAAAAAACTTCAGGAGTGGACAAAATGTCTGCAGAATTTGCATATCTGGTACTTTAAATTTAATTATCCAACAGAACATAACAATCATTTTTTAAGGGTGAAATTGTTTTTATTTTTTCTTTCTTTTTTGGACCTACGGGTTAAGATGCAGCCCACGAAAAACAAAAAAGGACCTTGATGCTGTTTTAAATGGTACACACAAACTCCTACCAGTTGCATCTTTTTCCCCAGTGCCATCGTGCAACAGTGAATTGTTTACTTAAACTTTAGACAGAAAGAATTAACTGATCCAAACCAGAGGCAGTTTTTTTTTAAGTGTGTTTTTTAAAAACACAAAATAAAAAAGGAACATTTTCTCCTCCAGTGAAGCTTTTCTCTTTCCATAAAAATTAAAAAAACTACCAGCCCCGGTTTTCATTCTCTTCAATTTTGCGTAATCATATAAACAATGATGTCTCATAACATAGTCAGAACAACTGGAAAATAAGAATATGATCCTACTGGATGAAACTTGTATATTTTTAGCATAGTAGCATGGGTTTGATCAGGTGGTGAACAATATTACCAGTGATTTAGAAGACATGCTCTGCTTGTCTAAGCTAGAGATCGGCCATATTGGACCAAAAAAACAAAAAATAAATCTGTCTGAAGCAGAAAAATTTAAAAGTCTTATATATGCCTCATCTGGCAACACGGGATCTAAGTATATTATCCCACTATAGAAAAGGACTAAGTGGACTTAAATATATATAAAGCATTCATGATTTCCTGTTTATCCTGGAGCAAATGTCACATAGTAGCATGAGATGTGGGAGGAGCAGTGAACGCTCACACCGCCCTTCACCGTGCGGTTTCAGTTTTGTTGCATTGATGAAATTATAGAAACACAAAAAAGGAATCTTTCTATGGTGGACATGTTTCTGTTGGGAGGAGCTGATTGAGTTATGAGTCATGAGCGCTACCTGTTTGATCTGTGGACATTTTTTTCATGCTTTAAACAAAACTAGCAGCAGTAGTGGAGTTAGGAGATGCAATCCATTTTTTTAAAACTACCTTTGCTCTCCTCCAATTTATCCAGAGGTTCTGAAATCGCATTCTCTCTCTCACTCACAACTTTGTGATCGACTGCATATTTAGGCTTCCCTGGAAATGCCTTTCCAAATTATTATTTGACAAATTCTCGTGCCAAAGCAAAAATGCAGGCAATCCTTCTGCATTGATAATGAAAGCAAATGATTCAGTCCATTCTTCTCTGAATCCTCTGTTCTCATCAGGTATCTTTTTTTTTCTCTATGGGATCCATAGCCCAAGACACACCTGCCGCTTTCTTTGCCGCGGCACCGCGCCGCGCTGAGACATGAGTTGCAAGCTTTGACCACTAAGCTCTATGGCTATGATGCACATTTCCGTTGAAATAAATGTTTACATATATTGTTTAAATGTATTTATTCTACAAATGTTTACAGCATTGGAAAACATAATGAATGTCTGTTTGACCTCCTGCACACCATATTAAAATAAACAAACCATAAATATGAATTTTTCCTAAATAAAAAAAAAAAAAAGCAGGTAGCCGCAAGGGAGCGCTAAAGTGTCACAGGTTGCCGACCCCTGGTTTAAGCTTACCAAGTCACCTGCATGACTTTATCGTCCACCACCCACCCTAAATATATATAGGATGCTGCTAGTCCATTGATTAACAGAAAAATGCAGACTAAAAATGTATAACACTGTATAACCACTTAATGAACACAATGAAACAACAGTCTGTTTAAAGTGTTTGCTTTGTTTTTAGAAATAAATGAAAATGTAGAAACCATCTGCCAAGTTTAATGTATGTTTTCAGAACTTATCAGACAGAATATGGCTGTTGTAGTTTCTATTCATTATGAATTAACTGAAGTGTAAGAAGTTATACCGTAATCTAGCTGGTACCTAGTCTGTTTGGATGTTTGAAAGTTGAAGTTTCCACTGGAATTATTTCCGATCTGTTGTGTCAGCAAGGAAAAAGTCTTTGTAGCGGCCTCCTCTTAACCAGCTGACTGGTGATGTGCAGGAACAAGTGGAGAAGGTGCAGCTGGAGAAACCTCTCATGAAATCTAACGTTAGTATTAGAGTTTGCTTTAAAGCAGCTCAGAGCTAATCGTTTTTGGTGCTGCTGCTTGATGTTGAACTGGTTGAACTCTATCGTTTACTGTTGTTTCGACCTGCAAACGGCTGGCAGTCATCCATGAAAACTGGTGACACCAGTACCTGTGGTTCTCCCATAGCCCTGGGGACATGTCATTAACTTATTCATATTTTACACAGAATCATTACACATGGTGGGAAGTGTTTAAAGCCTGTTTAAAACCTTCCTATAATTTGATAATTGTGCATAAGAGATCTTAAACAATTGAAATTCCGTTTCTTAGAATTATTATTCTCTAGAAAATATGAGACAAGGCCAAGATAATTTATATTTTAAAAAGAAATTTATCCTACAGATTTTCTTATGCACTCAGGAGTTGGCTGGGGCTCATTTTGCATGAGTCATTGCATCATTATGTGGTGGCCTGTGGTTCTGCTAAGATGTAGAAGAAACCAAGATTAAGGTCATCAGCATTGTTGCATTTGATGTCACTCATCTCCCCCCTGACAATATTAAAGTCAATGGCGTAACGACACAACAATAGGCACGTGAGCAGCATTATCGGGGTGTGCCCCATATGAAGTACAACACGTGATAAAGGTTCAGGATACGGCGACAGTTTACTAAATTGGCCAATAGGACACAATTATGCAATTCCCAGTAGTATATGTTCACACATCACATATGGAAAAATAGTGAATGCGCACCTTGAATGGGACCATTGGTGACAGTGCACCAATACATGTTACAGACATCCCAGGTTGCTAAACACATTTCAGGGAGATGCTTGTCGAAATCCACCACCCCGCCGTCGTAGACACGACCGTTCGCCCCGAAACGTTCCCCATACATACACGCTTCATCCTTCTTCACCGTCACTAGACATGGAAATACTTTGAATATATTAGCACAACAAGTTATCTGGCTACCTTGAGCTTCACAGCCCCCCTCCTCACCCATGCTCTCTCCATTCATCTCCTGGTCGCAATCTTTACTCACTGTAACAGCACCGTCCACCTCTCCCTCTTCCACTGTAACAGCACCGTCCACCTCTCCCTCTTCCACTGTAGCAGCACCGTCCACCTCTCCCTCTTCCACTGTAACAGCACCGTCCACCTCTCCCTCTTCCACTGTAACAGCACCGTCCACCTCTCCCTCTTCCACTGTAACAGCACCGTCCACCTCTCCCTCTTCCACTGTAGCAGCACCGTCCACCTCTCCCTCTTCCACTGTAGCAGCACCGTCCACCTCTCCCTCTTCCACTGTAGCAGCACCGTCCACCTCTCCCTCTTCCACTGTAGCAGCACCGTCCACCTCTCCCTCTTCCACTGTAGCAGCACCGTCCACCTCTCCCTCTTCCACTGTAACAGCACCGTCCACCTCTCCCTCTTCCACTGTAGCAGCACCGTCCACCTCTCCCTCTTCCACTGTAGCAGCACCGTCCACCTCTCCCTCTTCCACTGTAACAGCACCGTCCACCTCTCCCTCTTCCACTGTAGCAGCACCGTCCACCTCTCCCTCTTCCACTGTAGCAGCACCGTCCACCTCTCCCTCTTCCACTGTAGCAGCACCGTCCACCTCTTCCACTGTAACAGCACCGTCCACCTCTCCCTCTTCCACTGTAGCAGCACCGTCCACCTCTTCCACTGTAACAGCACCGTCCACCTCTCCCTCTTCCACTGTAGCAGCACCGTCCACCTCTTCCACTGTAGCAGCACCGTCCACCTCTCCCTCTTCCACTGTAGCAGCACCGTCCACCTCTTCCACTGTAACAGCACCGTCCACCTCTCCCTCTTCCACTGTAGCAGCACCGTCCACCTCTTCCACTGTAACAGCACCGTCCACCTCTCCCTCTTCCACTGTAACAGCACCGTCCACCTCTCCCTCTTCCACTGTAACAGCACCGTCCACCTCTCCCTCTTCCACTGTAGCAGCACCGTCCACCTCTTCCACTGTAACAGCACCGTCCACCTCTCCCTCTTCCACTGTAACAGCACCGTCCACCTCTCCCTCTTCCACTGTAACAGCACCGTCCACCTCTCCCTCTTCCACTGTAACAGCACCGTCCACCTCTCCCTCTTCCACTGTAGCAGCACCGTCCACCTCTCCCTCTTCCACTGTAGCAGCACCGTCCACCTCTTCCACTGTAGCAGCACCGTCCACCTCTCCCTCTTCCACTGTAGCAGCACCGTCCACCTCTTCCACTGTAACAGCACCGTCCACCTCTCCCTCTTCCACTGTAGCAGCACCGTCCACCTCTTCCACTGTAGCAGCACCGTCCACCTCTCCCTCTTCCACTGTAGCAGCACCGTCCACCTCTTCCACTGTAACAGCACCGTCCACCTCTCCCTCTTCCACTGTAACAGCACCGTCCACCTCTCCCTCTTCCACTGTAGCAGCACCGTCCACCTCTTCCACTGTAACAGCACCGTCCACCTCTCCCTCTTCCACTGTAACAGCACCGTCCACCTCTCCCTCTTCCACTGTAACAGCACCGTCCACCTCTCCCTCTTCCACTGTAGCAGCACCGTCCACCTCTTCCACTGTAACAGCACCGTCCACCTCTCCCTCTTCCACTGTAACAGCACCGTCCACCTCTCCCTCTTCCACTGTAACAGCACCGTCCACCTCTCCCTCTTCCACTGTAACAGCACCGTCCACCTCTCCCTCTTCCACTGTAGCAGCACCG